GAAAAATGAAATCCTTGGCAACTTCTATCTTTTCTCAATTTATCATATTACCTATTGTCCAGTTGGGAGGATTTTGGTTTTCTGTACATACTGAAGGCTTCAGTCTGTATTGTTCATCAGCAAGTGCTTCAAGTCCTCACTTTCAGCAAGCAGGGTTGTGTTGCCTGCGTATCTCAGGTTGTTAATAAGCCTTCCTCTATTCCTGATGCCATGTGCTTCTTCGTGTAAACTAGCTTCACTGATGATCTGCTTAGCATACAGATTGCATAATTCTGGTGAGAAAACACAACCCTGACGCACACCTTTCCTTATTTTAAACCACGCAGTATTCCCTTGTTCTCCTCGCACAACTGCCTCTTGATCCATGTGTAGGTTCTGCATGAGCACAGTGAGGTACTCCAGAATTCCCAGTCTTCTCCAGGCTAGATTCATGTAGTCAAATACCTTTGCATAGTCAATAAAACATAAGTAAACAGTATATGTAGTTTATTAAGTGTGCTTCTGAAAAGTTAGCATTGTGAAAAACGTTTAAAATACTGTGAGAATTACCAAAAGGTGATACAAGGACACACGGTGAGCACATGCTGTTGGGAAAAGAGCACCAATAGACTCTTTTTTCCCCCTGCTAAATGCCTCTGGTCTTGTGGGATGCTTTTTCTGATCGTCACAAATGCTCTTGGTGTGTGTGTGTGTGTGTGTGTGTGGCACGCCATTACTTTAGTCTTCAACCTTTCCTGGTCACCTCATGTTAGGTGTGCATCTCAAAAACCTTACCGCCAGATTGATAGTTGTTTGCATAATCGACAATGAAACCTTTACACTCCTTTTTTTTTTCTTTTTTCTTTCCTGTCTCCCTCACCCTCTCCCGGCCACTGTGCTCCATAGGTGCTGTGAGCTCCTTCTTGCTTCCAGCGTTGGGGGGCGGGGGGGGCATCATCATCCGGATCTCCTTTCCATGCGAACAGCCTATTCTGTATCTCTGGAAGCAAAGTTTTTCTTCCTTCTCAGAATCGTAGCATTTCACCAGCATATGAATGGGTTGGGGGACGTTGTCATATGCATTTAAAAAAACCAATCCTATCTAAAGACTTGCAGGTGGTTAACTCAGCTGCAAACCTAAAGGTTGGAAGTTCAAGTCCACCCAGAGGCTCCTTGGAAGAAAGCCCTGGAAATGTCATGGAGCATTGTGGAACTGGTGGAGGAAGACTTGGCCAACCATTTCTTCATTGCAGGGACATTTCCCACGATCACTTATTTAATTATAACACCGTTCACGCCAAGTGGGTGATCCGGGCAGCCGGTCACGAGCAAGCCAATCCACGGGACGGACAGAAGGGAAAGCGAGAGTTTATTGAGTACCAGGCCGAGATGCGAGCCTCGGTGGTGTCGTGGTTACACAGTGGGCTGTGATCCGCCTGGTCGGCACTTGAAACCACCAGGGGCCGCTGTGACTCAGGATTGACTCGATGGCAGGGAATGTCTCTGAGCGCTGTGGTGGGGGTGTGGTTACGACTTGGGCTGCAAGTTCAGCAGTTTGAAAGCAATAGCTATTCTAGGGGAGAAAGGAGGGCTTTCTAGCTACTTCAGTAAAGAATTTAAAAGCGAAAGGGTCACAGCCTCAAGTCTCACAGGACAGGTTCTACTCTGTCCTAAAGACCTCAAGGGTTGCTGTGTGTCCCCTGGGGGTGTGAGTTTTGTTTGTTGCCCTGGAGCAGCACAGGAGGAGGTGTTTTACAGGCAGGGATCTGGGGAGGGCAATTTTGGAGCACACTGGCTGGGGAGGTGAGCCTTCTGGTTCTTAAATTGTTGTTTTTGCTTGGAGGTGTGATTTTCCCCCAGGCTACAGGTTATTGTCAGCTGAGTCCTGTCCTGCAGATGGAGATAGGTTAATCTAGGATCTTAAGGAAATAGCAACAATATGTTAGTTCAGGATTCGCAGCAAGATTAGAACAAATCGGAAGCCAAGTGCAGGAATGTCTCAGCTAAATGCCAAAGGACTATTGCAGGTCACAGGTATTGTTAGTGGAGTCCTGCCTTTCAGGTGGACATAGGTTAATCTAGTAATTTTTCTAACAGCAATGATTTGTTAGCTCATCAAAAATTCTGACAGGATCGAATAATTGAATTGTATGATATGTGAATTATATGCCAGTCAAACTATTTTTAAAAATTCTGACAGGATTGCAAGATTGAAATGGGAGAGCCAAGTACAGGAAGTCTTCGCAAAAAGCCAAGGCACTGGGCAGCCTCAGCCTTTCCATCTTATTCTCTTTTTCCCATTGCAATTGCTAGTATTTTCAAATTGGGTCACCTGGATTTATCCTCTAGCACCCTCTCCTCCTCCCCTGAAATGGTTGAGGGTTAGCCCTGTACCTTGACATTGCTCTTTGATTGGGTCTTGTAGATCATCAGTTTGATTTTCAGTAGCATGGCCTTCCTCATCTTGCGTGTCAACTATTTTGATGATCTGATGAATGTCTTGGAACAGCTGGCCTGGAGCTAAACAGAGAAAAGCAGGGACTGGTTAGGAGGCAGTGTTTCAGGTGAGAGATGGTGGATTCACACAGGGTGACAAGGTAGAGAGAAGAGAAAGGATGGAATTGGGTTTGTTAGGTGTTTTTGTTATTTCGGGTTTTTGGCATGCAGAAGCCACAAGCTCCAATGATAGTTTGGACCTGGGGATTGAGCGGGGAGAGGCATCAAGGATCTCTCTCGGGTTTCTGACTTCAGCACCGGAACAGAGAGAGCTGCTGTGGCCTCTGGCAGCTTGCAGAGGAAGAGGTCACGTCTGAGAGTGGGTCTTAGGCTTCTCTTTTGGACACGCTAGACTTGTGGTATCCTGTGAGACATCCCGTGACACCCACATGTGGCCTTGGGTGGCTCCCCTCGGTTCCATGAGAGAGTGCAGTGCATTCCATGGAAGTGCTAGTTGGTAGTTACCAGTAAATGACAGTGGAATAAACCAAGGGGGCGAGGAAACTCTCCAGGAGGGCTGCAGAAGTAGATACCTACACTTGATCAAGCCCCAAGGTTTTTTATTGCTAGGGGGACGCTGATTTTGGGTTTGTTTTCTAAAATGGGAGCAGTAGGCGCAATATGTTTGGGAACTTAGGGACTTTAAACAAATAGATGGGATTTGGGGTTCTGTTTTGTTGTTGTTTTTCATATAATGCTGGTTGAAAGCTGGCCCCTGGTTGTGCTAGTGTTGACTTAGTGGTGTTGACTCAGTTCAGTGGTATCTGGGCTGACATTTCGTAAGCTTTTTTTCTTTTCTTTCACATCTCTTAAGCTTTCTTCCAGGGTCCCTGCTGCTTCAGCCGCCTCATTGCATTTGAGACAGGAAGACAGGATGTGAGAGGGCATAAGGAGGGCGAAGGAATAGACTTACATTGATGTTTCAAGGGCCTGACTGGAGAGAGAGGCGAGAATAGTATCCTCGGTATTTTGGTGGGTTTTTTTGGGGGGGCGGGGGCGGGTTGCATAATGTATATGTCATACTTGCCCCACAAGTAGGTTTTTTAGAGAGTTAAGGAGGCTCAGATCCCTGAATTTCCTTGCTATAGAGCCTTGGGCAACTTACTAATTATTGAAAACCTTTGGGGCATCATCTGTAACTGTAAGGATATTGTCTCCCCTTTGTAGCGGAGGGGCCATCATGAATATAAGATTAAGAATTCAGACTTTCAAGCCAAATAGCCTGGAATTCAAATTGAATTTTTTTCACTCATAATTTGTGAGACTTTGGACAAGTATCTTTTTTTAAAAATCATTTTATTGCGGGCTCATACAATTCTTTTGTTCTTAATTGGGGAGTGTTTTATTTTTGATTTTTGATCATTTTATTAGGGGCTCATATAACTCTTATCACAATCCATACATACATCAATTGTGTCAAGCACACTTGTACATTCATTGCCCTCGTCATTCTCAAAACATCGGCTCTCCACCGAAGCCCCCGGCATCAGCTCCTCATTTTCCCCTCCCTCCCATTCCCCCCTCCCGCATGAACCCTAGATAATTTATAAATCATTATTTTGCCACATCTTGAACTGTCCGACGTCTCCCCTCACCCTCTCCTCTGCTGTCCGTCCCCCAGGGAGGAGGTTATATGTAGATCCTTGTAATTGGTTCCCCCTTTCCAACCCACCCTCCCTCCACCCTCCTGGTATCGCCACTCTCACCACTGGTCATGAAGGGCTCATCCGCCCTGGAGTCCCTGTGTTTCCAGTTCCTATCTGGGGCTTGTACAATTCTTATCACAATCCATACATACATCCATTGTGTCAAGCACATTTGTACATGTGTTGCCATCATCGTTCTCAAAACATTTGCTTTCTACTTGAGCCCTTGATATCAGCTCCTCATTTTCCCCTTCCCTCCCCCTCCCCCCTCTCTCATGAACCCTTGATAATTTATAAATTCTTATTATTTTGTCATATCTTACACTGTCCAACGTCTCCCTTCACCCACTTTTCTGTTGTCCGTCCCCCAGGGAGGAGGTTATATGTAGATCCCTGTAATCAGTTCCCTGGACAAGTATCTTAGATGAGTCCTGCCTACTTCCTCATCTGAAAGGTGGCAATAGTAATAGTGACTACCTCATAAGCTTGATGTGCATATTAAATGAGTTAATGCTTGTAAAGCGCTGAGAACAGTTCCTGTCACTTAGTGCTATGCAAGTGTTAGCTCTTATTATTTCCTGTATTACAGTTCAGTGCTTAGCACAGTGCCTGACACATAGTAAATAGTCAATAAATAGTACTTATTACTGTACCTAAAGATAGGATTACATTTCCAAGGCTTTCCAGCATTTTTGTGAAATGGTTGTCCCAGCAGAATTGCTAATGATTGTACTTTCTTTGTGCTTGGGGTGACTTGGGAAGAGGGTGTGGACGTTAGGCATTGTCCTGTGGGTGGCCTGGTTGCAGTAGATGGAGAGGAACCCGGGGCTTGAGGTCTGTGTTTCTCATTTCTCATATCACTTTGCTTTGTATGCCCAGGTCCACTACTGGAAGACTGGGACATAATCAGTCCCAAGGATGTCATTGGCTCCGACGTGCTGTTAGCTGAGAAACGGTCATCGCTGACGACAGCTGCCCTACCCTTCACACAGTCCATCCTCTCTCAGGTGGCTTCAGGGACCTATGGGGCCCATCTGTGGTTGGAGGGCAGGGCCTACATGGTAGACCTCAGAACCCCCAGTGTCCTTTATTCTAGCATTCTGGTGGCCATTTGCTCTAGCCTGCCCAGTGTACCAGTAGCCTTTTGCTCTCTTTCCTCACAGGTGGGTCGCACCTTATCTAAGGTCCAGCAGGTGCTAAGCTGGTCATATGGAGAAGATGTCAAGCCTTTCAAGCCACCCTTGAGTGATGCTGAGTTTCACATGTACCTGAACCATGAGGGTCAGCTCTCCCGCCCTGAGGAATTGCGCCTGAGGATCTATCATGGTGGGGTTGAGCCCTCCCTGCGAAAGGTGAGCCTTCTCGGCTGCTCATTGGCTCCACTGTCCCCCCTCATTCACTCTCTCAGCCATCAAAAGCTCATCTCACACACACACACACACACACACACACACACACACAGAGTTTATCATATGGTTGGAGGGGAGGGTTACTCCAGGGTGGGAAGCTCTCCTCCAGGAAGGGCTAGGAGGCAGAGGTGGGCAGGTAGCCTTTTCAGGAGGACAAAGGCCCATAGTGGGTGCGTAGGTGATGGTGACTACCCCGTTGGGGTGTGGCAGCTCCTCTGATGAACCTCAGCCTCATTCCTCCCTTCTGTCTGGGGCCAGGTGGTGTGGAGGTACCTGCTGAACGTTTACCCAGATGGGCTGACAGGCCGAGAGCGGATGGACTACATGAAATGCAAGAGCCGCGAGTATGAGCAGCTGAAAAGTGAATGGGCCCAGCGGGCAAGCCCCGAGGATCTGGAGTTTATCCGCAGCACAGTCCTCAAGGATGTGCTGCGAACCGACCGGGCTCACCCCTACTATGCCGGGCCTGAGGACGGCCCCCACCTGCGGGCACTACATGACCTGCTTACCACCTACGCTGTCACCCATCCACAGGTGTCCTACTGCCAGGGTATGAGCGACCTGGCCTCACCCATTCTCGCCGTCATGGACCACGAGGGCCATGCCTTTGTCTGCTTCTGTGGCATTATGAAGCGCCTGGCTGCAAACTTTCACCCGGATGGCCGTGCCATGGCCACCAAATTTGCTCACCTCAAGCTGCTGCTGCGGCACGCCGACCCTGAATTCTACCAGTACCTGCAAGAGGCGGGCGCAGATGACCTCTTCTTCTGTTACCGGTGGCTGCTGCTCGAGCTGAAGCGTGAGTTCGCCTTCGACGACGCCCTCCGCATGCTCGAGGTCACCTGGAGTTCCCTGCCCCCGGATCCTCCGGAACAGGAAGTTGAGCTCGTTGGACCCCCCAACCAGATAGCCGACTCTGGCTTCAGTAGCCACAGAGGGCGACCTATGCGACAGAGGCACATGCTAAGGCCTGCTGGTGGAGAGGGTGGTGCCTTTGAGGATGCTGTTAATCACTTGGGCACAGCCAGCCAGGGGCCTGGAACCGGGGGGCGTCTACTGAGACAAGCCAGCCTCAATGACCTCCAGCAATTCAGGGATAACACAGGCACAAGGAGGGACCCCCTGGTCCAGTTGCCATGCTCAACAGCCCTCATCAGCTCTAAGTCCCTCTCCGAGCCCTTGCTGAACTCCCCAGACCCCCTGCTCTCCTCCTCTTCCCGACCTGACTCCCCATCCTCCTCGTCACCACCATCTACCCAGGAGGCCTCTCCCGCTGGTGATGTGGCTGCCGGATCCCCCTTGATGCAAGAGGAGGCCTCTCCTCAGGACCCTGGGAAGTCCCTGCCACCCCCGCCACCATTAGGCCTGCCCCCACCCCAGGAGTTTGGCCGGGGGAACCCATTCATGCTCTTCCTCTGCCTCGCCATCCTGTTGGAGCATCGGGACCACATCATGCGCAATGGGCTGGATTACAATGAGCTGGCCATGCACTTCGACCGCCTTGTGCGAAAGCACCACTTGGGCCGCGTCCTCCGCCGGGCCAAGGCTCTCTTCGCTGATTACCTGCAGTCGGAAGTGTGGGACTCTGAGGAGGGGGCTGAGGCCACCGCCCCATCTTGATCAGGCTCTCTCCAGCTAACACTTCAGCCCCACCAGGTCTCCGTTCTCAACCATCAGGGCCTACACGTGAGATTCCACCTCCTTGCCTGCCAACCCTACTAGACCTGTTGGGAGTGTGGGGCCCGCTCCCCAGGCCTGAGTGTGTGGGACACTACTTAGGCACTGCCCCAGGGAGGCCACAGCCTCTATCTCTGGTTTTGTTTTGTCTTGTTTTTAACAACTGTACTTTGCACACATGAAAGTCACCGTGGTCTGTGTATTTCTCCCTGGTTTGTGCTGTAGTTGGAGTGCCCATGGGGTACTGACTGGAGGGAGTGGAAATGCTTCTACATGGTGGGGGGGGGGGCTGCCTGCTCCCCCAATGGTAGGAGAAGGGTTCCAGAAGGTGAGTTCAGGTTGAGGACTACTTAAGGGAGTCATACTTGAGTATGATTTTGGTAGGTCCGCCTGCCTGTGAGGGTCTGTATAATGGACACAAATGTAAGTTTTCAGAATGGGCCCCTTCACTTAAATATTCTGAATAGAGAGGGGAGCACGAAAGTTCCTGGTTCATAAAAGGGCAGGATTCATTGCAAAGCAGGAGAAGCATGAATTCTACTTAGAAATGGTATATCAGCTCCCCTGGCATTCGGTTTGTCACCATTTCTAGAATCTAGACCATAGGTTTCCAAGCGTATTTGGCCTACCATTCCTTTTCAGGGGAGAAAAAACATTCTGTGCCTCCCTCAACCCAGGAATTTCAAACTTTGTGTATTATAGCCCATAATCCAAGATAAAGTGTAAGTATCTTTTTTGCAGCCCCCCCACCCCCTTGGACTATTCCAAAAGGAGCCCAGGTCACGTAATGGGTTATGCATAGGGCAGCTCACCTCAAAGCCAGCAGTTCTAAACCACCAGCTACTCTGCACAGGAGGAAGATTTAAAGATTTCCAGTCTCAGAAACCCACAGGGGCCTGTCCTGTAGGGTCACTGTGGATTGTTCCAGCAGCCTCAAGGGAAGCAGCATTGCCCGCTTTGGGAAACACTGGTCTAGACCTCTCCCTTTGAGTCTTATACACTAATGCTGGCAGCTCTGGGCAGGAGAATAAGGCTTCTATTTTGGGCCAATTTAAGGGACTATGGCCTTGCCATTCTTAGGGGTTTGACCTTATTCTAAGCTCTAAACTGAGTTTCCAGGTCATAGCTACCTGTCTTAACCATCTCAGCAATAAAAACCCTCAAAACTCACTACCATCAACTTGATGCTGACTCATAGCCACCCTATATTTTGTCAACAGAACCCATCTACTTACCTTTTCCATCCCATTGATACAACGATGAGAAGAGGTTTCCCCACCCCACCACCACCACCAGCCCGCTTACTTAGGAAGCAGGATTCTCCTTCAGGCCAGGTGGTATCCTCCAGAAAGGATGTGTGAGGTCATCACCTCCCGATGCCAGGCGCTGGGCCATGCTGACAAGAGAGAAAGGCTCATCAAAGGCAGCCATCTTCTGCCCTGCCTTCCCCCAAGAATGTCATTATAAAGCTGTGCTAACCCATCACAGGCTCACATGATGCCTCAGTATTAGACGAGAAGCCTACTGAGGACAATCAGATGAAGAACAGAGCAAGAACATTCTGTTTACGGTGCTCAGAGGGGCCTTTGGAGGCCTAAAATGGAAACCTTTTGCCGGTAACTGGCCGACGTGTTCTAGAGTTAAAGAAGTGCATTCTCTAATTAATGAACCTCAGATACTAGCGGAAGGACGAGGCAAATCAATTCTGTGTATGGGAGCCTGCAACCTCTGAGGGCCAGAGGAGTCCTTTCTGTGAATGGCAGGCGCAATACTCCAAAGGCCAGAAACCTTTGTCTTGCTCCTCGAGGCTCCTTGAGGATTCTGCTTCCTGCAAGTTAGCACGAGCTGCTGTCTCCCTGGCTGAAAACCAATCCTGGAGAAACTACCGAGGGGACCTGTGACTTCCGAAACGGAAGCCCAACTACGAGAGACCTGTGGGAAAATAGAAGGCTGTCTTTCACTGGTGTGTTTTGAGGGGCTGGGTGCTAGAGGCGGTGAACAGAAGATAGGGGAAAGGTCATTTAAGCTCTGGCTCCAACGTCTCTCCTGGTCCGCCTCCCTCTCAGCTCTCCGGACAGGTGTCTATGGGGCAAGTATCCGGGCAGCCTGAGAGGAAGAAATGACCAGTCGGAGGGAGACAGGCCTTTCCCATCTCTCTCCGTCCTGACCCCAGGGCTTCTAGGCTGTAAACTTCAGGAGGCTTCCTCCTCCTAAAGTGCTTCCATACTTAGAGCCCCTCCCAGACAAATTGTTAGGTGCTGTGATAGCAGATGGGGGCAATCACTCTGCTTTTGTTGTGCCTGGGGCGGTTCACCCTCTGGCTTAGCTGCCTGCACACCCTTTCACCTCTGTCCTCCCTGAGCTCCATGCCATCAACCTGATCGCTTTCCCAATACATTTTACCAGCCAGAATGAACTGGTGACTCAGGAAGATACAAGCTCACAGCCTGAACAATAGACACCTGCTAGTACAACGGCAGGGGGAAAAACCAGAAATTGGATGTACTAGTTACTACTGCCTAACAAATGACTCCAAAGCATAGCCACTAAAAACAGCAAGTGTTTATCACCTCATGGTGTCTCAAGGTCAGAAACCCAGGACTGGCTTCACTGGGTGGTTTGGCCTCATGGGCTCTCCTGAACTTGCAATCAAATTGCTGGCCAGGACTGCAGTCAGCTGAAGGCTTGGCCTGGCTGACAGACCCACTTCCAGCCAGGCTCACTGGCATGGCTGTTGAAAGGAGGCTTTGGTTCCTTACCCCAGACGCCTCTCTGCTCAGCTCGAAACATAGTATCTGAAGCAGAATTACTGGGATAGACAGATGCAGACCCTTAAGCAAGTGTATTGCTAGTAGGTATCATTGAGCCAGCTGTAACTCATACTGACTCTCAGCGTCACAACCAAGTGTTGCCCACTCATGCGCCATCCTCGCAATCATTGCTAGTATGAGCCCATTATTGCAGCCACGGTACCAATCCAGCTTGTTGAGGGGCTTCCTCATGTCTGGTGACCTTCTTACAAGCCTGATAACACATAAGAAATTCAAATACGAGGTGACCCAGCAAGTGAGAACCCATGGGCAAGACAGAAGCTGCAAGGTTTAGTCAAACTTAAGCTCAGAAATGACACATTTATACTGCACTCTAGTGGTCATACAGAATAACCTTGGTACAACATAGGTGAGAACCACAAAGGTGTGCACACCAGGAGATGGGGATCACGGGCAACCATACTGGAGATTGACTACCCCCCTGAGAAACACAGTATCTGCAGCAGAGATATGGGGGTGGACCGATGAAGACCTTTAAGCAAGTAGATTGGTACTAGGTGTCATTGAGTCAGTTACGACTCATACTGACTCTAGGCAGAACAACCGAGTGCTGCCTGGTCTTGTGCCATCCTCACAGTCACTGCTTGTTTGAGCCTGTTACTGCAGCCACTATATCAGCCCACCTTGTTGAGGGTCTTCCTCTTTTCTGGCCCACCCCCTAAGTTACCCAACATGATAAAAGTATCAAAAACCAAACTCACTGCCATCGAGTCTATGTCGCCGACTCATAGGGACCCTATAGGACACGGGAGAACGTCCCCTGTGAGTGTCCAAGAATGTCACTCTTTACAGGGGTAGAAGGCTGGTGGTTTCAAACTGCTCACCTAGCAGTTACCATCCCAACACAACCACTACGCCACAAGGGCCCCTATAAGAAAATACAAGATAGTAGAATATAAAACTGGCAGTAACAAGACATAATGAAAAGTATCCAAAGGAAATACTAGGTATGGCTATGGTAGTAGGAAAAAAGGAAAACTTTATACTGTAAATGGAGAATATGAAATGAGCAATACAAACTAAGTCCTAGTATGAGTAATTACCAAAATATCTCCAGTGGTTAGACAATGTTAAAAAATAATTTTATTAGGGGCTCTTCCAGCTCTTATAACATCCCATACATCAATTGTATCAAGCATATTTGTACGTATGTTGCCATCATCATTTCCAAGACATTTTCTACTTGAGCCCTTGGTATAAGCTCTTTTTTTCTCCTCCCTCCCCACCCTCCCACCCATATGAATCCTTGATCAATTACATATTGTTATTATTTCGTGTCTTACACTGTCCATTGTAGTTACACTATTTAAAAGCAGAGACCTAAATAAATAAATAAATAAATAAATAAATAAATAAATAAAAAAGCAGAGACCTTTAGTGGGTTAAAAACAAATCCAACAGGATACACGCAGATCCAGCAATACTGAAAATGAACAGATACAAAACGATCTATGGAGCACACACATGAAAGCCCAAAGAACATGGGAATCACCATCTTAACAGCTAGTCAAATGTGATTCCAAACTGATCAGAAAAGCAAAGAAGGGCATCCTCATTGACAAGGAAGATCTATTTACCATAGATGCATACTTTCTTCAGGAACTGTGAACGATGTGATATGTGAAATCATGCATCTATTTCTTGACACACAAAGGCTGAACGTACGCTCTCACTGTCATCGTGTCAATGCCAACGCATATCAACCCTCTAGGACAGGGTAAAACTGCCCCCTGTGAGTTTCCAAGACTGTAACTCTTTAGGGCAGTGGTTCTCAAAATCCTAATGCTGCGACCCTTTAATACAGTTCCTCATGTTTTGGTGACTGACCCTCAACCATAAAATGATTTTCCTTGCTACCTCCTAACTCTAATTTTGCTGCTGTTATGAATTGGCTGGCCCCTGTGAAAGGGGTCATTCAACCCCCAATGGGGTCATGACCCACAGGTTGAGAACTGCTGCTTTAGGGGCTAGAAAGCCAGCCTGTCTTTCTCCTGAGGAGTGGCTGTTTTTAAACTGCTGACCTTGCAGTTAGCAGCTCGCTAACCACAGCACCACCAGGGCTCCTCAAAATGTAAACTACTACATTTGCAAACCAAGTTGAGGGTCAACATTTCTGGAAACATAAAAATGTGCTCAAATTGATGCAAAAAGAAGGCAAGATGAAGCCAGCAGTGAGTTTTAAGGAAGCTTGCAGCAATGGTCAAGGACACCCCATATCCCTGTAACACGACGCTTTAGGCCCTGAGTCAGAGGGTTTTGCAGGTGAGTTCTAGCAAACTTTCTTCTCTCTCTTTAATTATATGAAAGTAGTTACTGCTCTTTTTCATAGTTTTATTGGCACATAACCACATATAAGA